AAGAGAAGAGAAGAGAAGAGAAGAGAAGAGAAGAGAAGAGAAGAGAAGAGAAGAGAAGAGAAGAGAAGAGACCTCCTTGGAGGAGATTGGGGTTTAGGGGGATGGAGGGATGTGGGGCGGAGGGGAATCATCAGACAGACAGACAGCAGGATGGAGGCTGAGGGAGGTCACTTACCCAGAAGAAGGAGAAGGAGGGTTATCTCCATAGAATCATAGAATATCAGGGTTGGAAGGGACCTCAAGAGGTCATCTAGTCCAACCCCCTGCTCAAAGCAGGACCAATCCCCATGCTGAGCTGGTCACTCTGGCCTGAGAGCTGGGCCCTGTCTGGGTGCAAGGATGGGGGTGGGCCCCTCCCCTCTGATGGAGGCAGAGGGAGTCACAGCCTCAGGCATGGTCACTGCTCAGCTCAGGAGCTGGAGACTCACCTGTGCCTCATGTGCAGGGCGTGCAGAGGGGAGCTGGCCATTTTCCAGGGCTGACAATGTTGAGGAGGCCGGAGCAGCAGCCCCAAGTGACTGTTACCTCCGGCGTTGGTCCAGGGACTGAGCTGGGGTAAAGGGACCTTAGATTAGTTACAGTGTATTACACCCGCTGGGGATCTGGCCCCATTGACTCCAGAGGAGCTACGGCCCATTGACACCACCTGGGGATGTCGCTCATTCACGGCGATGACTCTGAAACCAGCCCCCTGGTCCTGCTGTGTCCTTGGGGAGTGTTTTGAACTAATAGTTGGAGGTTCTGCTGCAGCACAGGGAGCGTTTGCACAGACAGGGAGTGACGGGGCTGGGGAGGGTTTCCAGTGCCCAAACCCGGATCCCGTGTGTTGGGCATTGACCCTGCACAAGAACTAAGAGGGGTAACCGGAGCTGGAGTGTGGGCCTGGCCCAGCTGGAGATGGAGCTCAGCTGGGCAGTGAGTAGAAAGGGAGGCAGCCCAGATGAGAAGTGGGCTGTGAGGAAAAGCTCCCCCATTTCTCTCTGGTCGCTGGAGGGAAGGTCTGGAGAGAAGCAGCTGTGAAGACAGCCCAGGGAGATGCTGTGCAAAGGGCCCGAAGGAAAGCCAAGGTAGGAAGGAATCCAGCAGGCAGCTGGGAGGTGTCTGGGGGAGCAGAGCAGATCTCAGTTGCTCACCACAGCACTCTGGGTTTGATTTCCCGTCTCGGACACTGGGAATGGTGAGTGAGATCCCCCGGCACAAGAAGGAGAAGCACTGCTGAGTTTGGGGGAGGGTCTCTGGATAGAAAGTTCTAGTCAGCGTTGGTCTGTGCAAGAGCCAGACGACGACCCTGCAGAAGCTGGGGAGTGGTGAAGGGGCTGTATGGGGGATGGCAGGGGGAGGCTGGGGAGAGATGGAGAATTATGTTGATTTGAGTTTAATTTACTGGACTCTCTGTTTATCCCCACAGGAGGCAGCCGGCTGGAGGGCCTATCATGTGGGGAGAAATCACCGCAGGGCCTGAGGAACTGTCAGCAGTGGTGCTATGCCAGGCCCTGCCACAAAGGGAAGCTACAGCGGTCAGTCCCCTCTTCCCCACCCAGCCAGACTCTTGGCCTGGGGACAGACCATCTTTCCAGGGTGAAATTTTCATGTCCCCTGATGAGAAAATCCATCATTTTCAGTTCATCGTGAACCTGCCGTCTAGAGACCAGCGTTGAACCTCCAGCGGCTTTGCTCTCCGGTTCTGCGCTCTGAGCGTTGTGAGTTTCAAGCCTTTGTACGAGGCAGAGATTTCGATGAACCCAGTGACAAAGAGCTTTAGGGATTTTCTTTGTCTTCCCTTGCACGGCCCATAAACACCATGGATGTAATTTTCCAAGCTTTGTGGACATTTTACAGTAGGAATAAGGATAAAAGAGAACAGCAACCAAAGTGGGCTGGAAAGAAGGTTAACTGAAGGCGGAGTAACTGTGTTATTCCCATCTCCAACCCACTGGAGCCCACTCCCCTCCCAGAGCTTGGATTAGAACAGAGGCTCTGAGCTCCCCTCTGCTCGAACCGATGAGACTCCATACCACTCCCAGAGTCCGGAATAGAGCCCAGGAGACCTGGTTCCCATTCCCCTGCTGGCTGCTTCAAAAGAACGCACGGGAGGACCAGAGACAACTCTTCATCATGAACCTTCAGTCAAACCAATGGAGTGTCACAGAGATGGAGGGTGCCAGAGAATGTCACTGTTCTCCTACAGCCCCTGTGGGCTCTGCCTGCAGGCCTCTTGCAATCCCCAGAAGACAGTAGCACAAGGAGCAGTGAAGGGTCACCAACTCTTGGGACTCCATTTCCCACAATGTCCTGCCTTGTGAGCTGTGATCCACTCCAATCTCTCATGCTCAGCAAGACTGGGTGACCCCAACCATGTTCACTGTATTGCCCTGGGGGTGCCATGGGTGGCACAGGGAGCAAGGCAGGGGATTAGCAGGGGGTGCTCCCCCCTGGCAGGCAGTGCTAGCTGCCATGCCATGTGCACTGCCAGGGGAGTGGGGGCTTTGCTTCAGGAAGGGGCGTGAGTGTCTCCTTAGGGTGCATTGTTCTGCTGGACTTGTCACCTCGTGGGAGGTGTGCACAGAAACTAATAACATGCAGGGTCGTTAAATATCCACTGGCTTTTCACATGTGTAATTCTTGTCCCCAAAATTCCCACCTCCTCTTCCACTGGACACAGAAATCTCACTCTGCTGAGCTCATGGATAAAGGTCTGCACCTTTTTACAACAGCTCCGGTGTCCTACACTGAGGGGGGTTGGATGGGTTGATGTTGGCTGGGATCACTGCTCACTGACGTGGCGCAAAACGTGCTATGCCCTACAGCATGGGGGCTGAGTGTCACGTTTTGGGGTTTGATCCAAAACCACCTGCCCTGTATCCCTGGGTCCCCTGAAACGCTGAGGTGCTGCAGCTCCGTGTCTGCACATTCCCAGCTAGCAGACAAGTACTTACTGAGTGTTTGCAGTCAACAGCCCTGGTTTAGCAACACCAACTCCAGCAGCCTGCTTGATACATCCCGCCATGCCCTGGTCCCCAGCAGCCTCGGTTACTGCTAGGAAAGGAACCCCAACACACACACCCCGGTCTGCATTTCCCCCAAACCATCTGCCCTGAAAAGTCCAGCCCTCTCCTGCAGCATCCAGAGAAATAATAGTGGTCACTTGCTCCATTTAAGAGACAAACTTCAGCTGCTCACCACGTTAACTGGAGTTACCAGTGACTTGAATTCAAATCCAGCCCTGGCTTGGTTTAGATTAGAATAAACCAAGTTTATTAACATAAGGCCATGGGTTAAAAGATTCCAAATAAAAAGAAACCCAGTTAGAGGTGGTTACAAGTAAATCAAAGGGAAAATACACAGCTGAAAGGCTAAAACTCAAGGCACGGTCTGCGTTGAAGGTGATTTCACTTTCCGATTACTCTTGGTCTGGCCTGGCTCTTCATCCTGACCTGCCTGGGAAGTGTGAGGTGCTGGTTTCCCCTGTTGTCTTAGGGGGAAGAGAATTTGGGGGTTCACTGCCCCTCTCTCTGTAGTTCAGGAGAACATGTCTCTCTATGTTCATCGAGCCTGCTTCAGGAAGGAAGGTCTCCTGGGGGTGCCTTCTGCCGCCCTGTCGATAGCTAAGTCATCACCTCTTGTCCTTGGTGGCTTGATGGCTTTGTTTACCACCCATGTACATCCTAATTCTCTTGTCATTGGCCACCCGGATTAATTTCTATTCAAGTCCTGGGCAGACCTGGTTCTCCTTTGTTCAAATACAGACTTTAAAACAGACTCACAGGGGTTGGCCACATCTCCATCTTTAGCATTCTCACCTATACTCCGCAATGATATTATTGACCAGTGTGGTGGGATTTTCAAATGATACCTCACAAGGCATAGTTTGTGTAGGTGATTGCAGCTGTGTGTAGGGTGTGAATACAGGGGTGCGTGGGTTCACACTGGGCAAGCAAATTCTGTGCACAAGGGTTGTGAAGCTGTGAAACAGTGACGGTGCCCCACCCCAGATACAGCTTCTTTTTGGTTGGTTGCTTAAGTGTTCATGGTGCCTAAAACCCTTTGAAACCCTGTGGATGTTTCTCAGACCTCACTCTTGGACTTTTCAGCAGAACCTCCCCCTCCAGGCTATAATTCAAGGGGAGAGATTGCAGACCAAATGGGTCACCTTGTGGAGAGAATCCAAGACACAGAATGAAGGGCCCCCTTCACAGAGGAAGCCAGTTACCTGGATCTAGAAGCAGCAGTGGGAGCCGAGGAAGATGAGAGCATTAATGAGGAACAAGGAGCCACCTACTGTCAGCTCCTGCACCCAGAGGAAGGTTCGAGCTGCAGAGAGAGGAGAAGCTCGAATGGAACCAGCAGGTTAACATCCCTGCTGAGCATGATGCATATGATGTCCGTGTGTCTGTGCCTCTAAGACTTGTGACGAACTCCCCTGGATCTCAGGAGCCATCCAGCTGAGATGTGAAACCCACCCACAGCCCTTCCCTCTCACACTGGTGGACACCAATTTCTGATTCTTCCCATCTGTGTGTCTGTCCCCCTCCTGTCAGCCTGTCCTCCAGCACCCTGTGACCTGCCCTGTCCTCATTTGGACATCAAGGGAACTGGGCACCAGTATGTGGGGTTAGAAGGGTCAATTTTTCTGGGGAGATGTTAGCAGCCAAGAGCCACCTCACCTGAAACTGTGACGTTCCCAGTGACAGTCACAGCCCGGCTCCTGGGGGACGGGATCCATCTCCCGCCCACATTCTCCTCATACCCACAGCTGAATTCCCCGGTGTTGTTTGAACTGGCCAGCAGCATTCTGAGCACAGAGGTGTTCATAGAGACAGTCCTGGGATCTGTCGTGTTGATCTCAGACCCCACGTCCCCAGGGATGAGCTCGGCTCTGTCCTTGTAGAAGTGAAACCTCTGCTGACCGGCGTCCCTGGGGGCCGTGCAGGTCATGAGCAGGTGGATCCCTTCGCTCACTGATCTGGATGGGGGATCCACACTCAGTGCTTGCTGGGGAGGGGGATCTGTGGGGAGCAGGAAATGGGAGGGGTCAGCAGGGACATGGCAGTGGGGGAAGTGGAGCTGGTGCCTAGAATTCCACTTATTCAGAGCTGACCTGTGTTCTCTCTCCAGAGCCTCTTGTTTCACCTCAGGATCCTGAGGGTCTCCCCCCAGAAATGAGGAAGAACTGGGCTGGGGGAGAGGATTTCATCCTTCAGATACTATATGGGTCCCAGATGTGGGATCAGAAGGAGGCCGGCGTCACCAGGACATAACTTGTTTTTTGTTATATCTCTCTTACTAATGTCCCAGCCCCTGATATTTCTGTAGATAGTGAGGGCCCAGAACATCTGGCTATCCTATAGCCTGATTTGGGGTAGGTTAGTAGTGTTGATTTAATTTATCCACTAAATTTTATTTTTCTTTAATTAATCAATTAATTAATAATTTTATTAATTTTAATAGTTTAATAATTATGGTGAATATTAATTAGTATGGGTATTTGGCTCGCCAATTTGTTTAATCAGAAGATAGAGTTCGTCCGGAATCAGGCTTCACAGAGTTTATAAAAGGAATGTTGGGGTTGTGACAGGAAGTTTACACAGAAACAGATGTAGTCATAAAGACTTTTTATTAAAATCAATGAAGATAGTAAGTAAATGGAAAAACACTTAGAGTTACAGAGTTACACTTGTATCACAGTTCGTTAAGAGAATATAAGGCTATACACTGCAAAATGGATGAATACTCACACCCTGTTCTTGATAATAATCTGGTGCTTGCAACACCTTGGGCGTTTTTCACACTTCTAGTAAAGGAAGCTACTGCAAAGTAACTTGTTTTCTAAATTAACTCTATATGCCTTCTCTAAATAAACATGTAAATGAGATTAAATCCTTTTTTAATTTACAATCTTGTAAAGAATGAAGAACGACCTACCAATAGCTAATAGTCGTGTGGAAGATGAGTAGTATTGATACGTAGTTGAAAGGTGGAGGCAACGAAGAGTAGACAGGAGTAGGTAGATGGGTAGATTGCCTGTCTAATGGCAAACTGCCTGCCTTTTTATAAGGTATTTAATCGGAAATCCTCCCTCCTATGCCCATATTTCATTCTTCCCCCACGGAAATGTTAGGGTACACTTACCCATAGGCTAGTATGCATGTGCGTATGGATGACAGATATGTACGCACTTGTGGTAAATACATTAGAATGTGGGCAAAACCCCTCATTTTCCACCCCATTTTACTATTGGTTTAGGTAAAGGTCTCTAGACATCCGCGTGGGTGTTTTGCCTAATTTCACTTTTTCCTAGAAAGGGTCTCAAAAAGGTGTTAACTACGCATTAGCTTTAACATACAGAGTTTAACCTGGAGGTAGGTCTCTTGCATTACAGCTAAACTTACTTTTAATATAAATCTATAAATCCAATACATCAAATACTCATTTTATAAGAAAGATATATTGATACAGACAGGCAGATTAATCCTTAGGGCCACACGCCCCCCTTTGACGGGGTGGTTTGCACAAAGAAACCCCGTCACCTAGATTGGATTTCATATCTGTGGGGCCCTTTTTAGCAACACTTTCATAGCTGGGCATATTTTGATAGGTATCTGGAATGGGCATCATGTATATATTCCTCACTCTGTGATGCTTGTATATGCCTCTGTCTAGGTGTCTGTCTAGGCATTTGCTTAGGTTTAGGCTTGGGTTTGTTGAATTTATACTGCAAGTAACCTAAAATAAGGAAATTAATTCCAATTGCAATTCCTTGGACGATTACCCATCCTTTTAATCCAAAATTTTCTCTGGGAGTTGTTGCAGGTTCATTACCTTCATTTATTAACTGGGTAATAACTTGTTGGGCTTTGTCCATATCATTAGTAATTTGGATTAGGTGAGTTTCCTTACGAGCCATTAATGATTTTAGCTGTAAGTTTAGTGGGGGAATATAGGCCAGAAAAGTGGGTGTGCTTTGGACAATTAAATCCTAATAAGCGGGGTTGGACTGAATAATGGTAATGTTCTCAAAAATGGGAATAGGGAAAATAGCTTGATTTCCTATTACTGGGGGTTTCTTTGTGGTAAAACAGAAATTTGGCTCTGTGACAGGACACTCCAAGGGACCATATTGGTACCTCTTTTGGTTGGTTACCACGCAAAATTGGTTACTTCCAGCATAGGTCACCCTCTCCATCAGTGTCTTCCACATGGTCAGCCTCACCAGGCATGACGATGATGAATTCTGTAATTTCTCTCCCTATAACCCACACAAAACAGTGTCTGTTTCAAACACATTACCCCTACAGATATACTGAGGCCCTTTCTCAGAACAACAGGCCATCTGTGGAACTTTCCAGGTCTGAGTTGGAGTGTGATAGATTACCAGGGGAGGTGCATTTATGCGTTCCCTGTAGATGTCATCTTCGAGGTGACCTATAGAATGGATAGTAGCCAATTGCCTGTACACATCCTTGTTTGGGTCAAACACCGGTAACGAGACCATGAATGAGACATACAAAGATTGTACCATCATACAATCTTTTGAAAGAGAACAACTGTCTCGATTGGGGTGAGGTGTCACAGATCCTAACTCTCTCATAGCACCCACTGACAAATGCTGGCATGCATCCAAACAAGTAGATCTTTCCTTATTCAGTTTTTGAAAACATTTAGGGCAGTACCAACTTAACAGTTGCTCATCTTTAATTAAGTCTGGAACTTCTCCTAATCTCAAGGATTGTAATGCATCAGTAATAGTACTTACAACATATTCCCCATATGCAGAGCATATAATTTCTTTCCCCAAACGTTTATCCCTTTGCTGATCATTGTTTAAAGCAATTAACTGATTAACTTTCTGTTGAGTCTCATTAAACAATTGAGTTATATCATACATATTATAGACAGTATATTGTTCTTCCTGTGCCAGCCCTTTTATTCCTTGTAACATTGGATTGACCGCTCAGTTGGCTTCCTCTTTTAACACATAATCTATATGCTTGCGGATTTTCCAAGTTCCATAAGGTACACCATGTTTCAGGGAAATTGAATTTGTTGTGGATGTCTTGCACCCTCCTCTCTTCGAATTTTCATCTAAGGGCCACATCTTTTTCCAACCACTAGAGGGCAATGAAGTGACTCCCACTAATTGATATTCAAAAGTAACATCCTCCCCTCTAATTCCCTTAACCCGTTGAATCAGGTCGTTGATAATTTCCGGGTTGAGTGAAATGTTGTTGGTATGTTCTGTTGCTTGTGCCCAGACTGTTAAAGTGACCATATCTTGTGCTGCTGTCTGAAAGTCAGGCAACTTCTCCAGTTATGTCAACAGGCTGCTCTGGGGACACGGTGAGCTGGGAAGCCGGGAGGACGGCTGGAAAAGACAAGGGGGTCGGGGGAGAAGATGGCTACTTGTGCGGCTGGTGACACAGAAGCAGAGGAAGGGCCAATGAAGAGCAGAAGAGGGTGGGATCCTGGACACAGACCCCAGCCAGCGCCAGCTCAGTACCCAGGGACCAGATCCCCACGGGGCCATGCAAACACGGAGCAGCAGAGATCTCACTGCCGGGAAACCCAGTGGGACCAGCGTCCCCTCCTTGGTACCTGAGGGGGCAGCTCCTGCCCAGGGCCAGCTCAGCCTGCAGGGCCTGGGAGGGGAGGGCTTGTGTGGCTGAGGCTGGGGGTGTCGGGGAGCTGCCCCCAGCAGGCACAGATCAGGCTTCCCTGCACTAAGGACAGATGGTAGGAAGGTGCCTCAGAGCCCCGGGCACCCCCTGGGGAGCATCACACACACCAGCTGGGGTCTGTCCCCATTGACTCCAAAGGAGCTTGGGCTCATTTACATTGGTCTTGCTGAACCCACAGACTCATTTCGAGGTTTTTATTTATTCTCACCAGCTGGGATCTCGCTCTCTCACG